CCCCAGAGCCAGCACCCACCCCAGCCCATGAGTTGGACCCCTTTGAGGCCCAGTGGGCAGCATTAGAAGGCAAACCCGCCGTAGAGAAGCCTTTCTAACCCCTTCTCGGGCGACGTGCAAAAGACCTTCGAGATTGAACTGTAGCCCCAGCCGCCCTGCCCACCCCATGATCTCCAGGTGCCCCACACCTAGGAGTTGAAGCCCACCTCTCCCCTCATCTTGCTCCCTGGGGCTTCGCCCCTCAATATCCCTCTAACTCCTCCTCTCGACCACCCCCACAACCACTATAGAACCGACATTGTGACGCCCAGGTTTCCACAGGATGGAATTCAGGACAGATCAGCCTGGCAATGCTCCCTCCCCCACCCCAGGCACTGGGATGGCTGTAGTCCCACGGAGCGCCCTCGGTTCAAGCTACAGTTTCCAGTTTCTGTTGTTGACCTTCCACCTTCCACTGTTGGATGGGCTGGGGGAGGGATGTCCATTTAGGGGCTCTCCTGGGCCCCACATGGTTGCCCCCCCCACACACAGCACAAGCAAAGGGCTTCCCTCTGCCCACCCGCTGCGTTCACTGCCAATGCTGTGCTCACCGTTAGCCCTCTCCCCCACTCGGCCCACATCTTCCTTGGACCAAGGTCTCTTGGGGGCAGGGGCCAAGTTGGGGGCCCAGGAAGTGAGTTTGGGGGGAGGGCAAGGAGATGCTCAGTTACCTCACGTTGGTGCCCCCTGGGGAGGGGCCCAGAGGAAGGGGGAGGGGTGCCTGGCGGGTACTTTTCTATCTTTTATTTCCAGATTTTTTTGTATCTAAACTTGCAGATTTGTATTATACCAGGATAGCCAATAAAGGAAGAATATAATGGTGCCCCTCAGGAAAGCGGGGTGTGTGTCTGGGAGGGACGGTGAGGTCACAGCCTTCCTCCTGAGGCGTCCCCTAAAGCAAGAGGGTCTCCCTGCATGATAACCCGAGTCAGAACGTAGCAGCAGGTAGCAGCTGGCCTGGCACGGAGAGGTGAGTAGTAAAGGGTGCCCACAATTAATCACCCCATTTCTGATGCTTCAGATTTTGAACCCAGGAATTAAAATTCTAATCTGCTGCTAATAAGTTCAGTATTAAAATCCCTTCAAGTTAACGAGGTTTGGAATAGTATGAGCTGGTCGATTCTTGTGTCATCGATTGTATTCTCTGTAACCGAGACCAAAGTGACATTTGATGTGGCAGCATGTTCCAAGTCTGTCTTGTTTTGGGCCCCTGGATATAATCTACCTTATATATTTTTAAATATATAAATTATATGCTTAACTCTTTATAGCTCTTCAAAACGAGGTGATTGACTTGGTGAAGCCCAATGTTATCTCCCCATTGGAGGGGTGGGAAAGTTGCGGCACTCTCCCACGGTCGGACCGATTGGTGGGGGAGCCGGGCGTCACTCCAACCTGAAGGCCAGTCGTTAACCACCGGCTGTGAGGAACGTCTAGGGCCTGCCTCAGGGGTTTGCATTATAGTCCATCAGCTGTGGGTCCCGGGCCAGGGGACG